GGGGGGGGGGGGGCACAGTGCGCAATCACACACTCCCTAGGAAAGCTCAGGGACTTCTGGCACCAGCTCCACAAGGGAGAGGTATCCTTTCAGGTAATTAAGTTTTCCTTATAACGGCAAGAGAGGGCTCCTGGGAAAAGGCTGGCATATTCTCGAATTGGGTCTGACAGGTTGGTGCTGTTTCCATGGTGAAGCTGAAAGTCTGGTCCCAGCACCCTGAAGGTAAAGAGCATTGCAGTGTCACCCAGAATAAACGACTGAAAGTAACTTTCTCCCCTCAAGGAAGGGGGGGGGGACGACTAAATCTCAAAAACTGAAAGCAAAAAAACAAAACAAAAAAACCCAGGTGAATGTGAAGTACAGGAGACAGGCAAAAGAAACAAATAATCAGGTACATAAAATTTCCTAGAAAAATTTAAACACACGCCATTCTGTCCATGTTTAATCCACTAAAACCATGATTAACTGAGTAGTAAAGCATGAATTTTATATGAAAAGAAACAAAAACACCCAAATACTATGGAAGTTCTATTTGTTCTTGAGGGTCAAGAGAGATCACCTTAAATAAAACCAATGTGCTTATCTATCAGCCCGTGAGTTAGTGGCATCATCTTTATAAAACAAAACAGAGTAGGCCTACATCTTAAAATGGAGAAGATGGGTACCCAGATTAGGGAGCAAGGTATAAAACTGACAAGTCAGAAACCACTTATGTGTCAGGTACTTTCAACTCAATACATAGTTTTAAAATGTACACATATATACAAGCAACTTAAAAGCAAAGTGAATTCAGTAAGTAGATGCACAGTAGTAAAAGAAGGTATCGTAGCAGGTTGACTGAAAGCAGGTTTCTAAGGAGTCCAGTTGGCTAGACGCGACCCCAAAGTTATGAGGCAGAGCTGAAGGCAGGGCAGTTCTGAGTTCCACCCCATGTGGGAGATGAACCAGCCGACCGGTAGGTTAGACATTTAATGGAAGGCAGCCAATGGAAGGCAGCCCATCATCAAAAAACTCGGCCACCTGCTCTCATTTGAATATGCAGAGTGATAATTAATTTTAAAAAGCTGTCTGGCGAATGTCCAGGGTGACTTTATTTCATGGAGAGAAAACAAAAAGAACAGTAACAACATGATTTTCCTAGACACCACATAGTGACTGGCACTTTTCATTCCTCTTTTATCACATCATACAAAAAAAAAAAAATCAAGGAAACATACCAAAATATACCCCACACTCCTTAAATTAGCAGAACTGAAATTAAAACTTGAAGCAGTATTTCTCTACACTTTGATTCAAACTCTATTTACAAATTAAATTGCACTTATAAAGATAGCAACATTTCTAATACAGTCTAGTAGGTTATTTTGCTTTATTGTGGTTTTATATCTCAATATAAAACTTTTAAAGCTTTCTTCGGTAAAATCATACTTTCTTTTGCAGTACATAATTTACCAATGAGTTTCAAAACCAGTTTTCTCTTTTTGTGCTTTTCTGTTCCATTTTATTTTACAAATGGCACATACCTTCCGAGTAGGAACAATCAGACACCGCACTCATTTATAAGAGACTCATTTATAAAAAAGTTAAAGTATAAGAAATGAAATATTAGCAGCCTAATCCTTTGGTTTATCTTTTTTAAAAAAATCATCCAATATAATTTACAAATCAGTGGTAACTCTTCTTTTTGGTTAAAAACAAATTCACCAGGTAGATCACTAATTAAAATCCAACACTGCTTTAAAAAGTACCGCACTCTGAGTCCTGTCTCACCTCTCAAGGACGCCACTGTGTACAATGGTTTGACATGACACAGGATAAGGTAAGGCACAGTGGATGGTACAAATAAAAACAAATACTTCAGGACTGTTTTTTCTGCACAGATACTAAAATATGTACCGTTTTCAAGATAAAATAACAAAAAAGAAATACATATTTTTTGTTATGAAATACCTATACAAAATTTTTAAATTTACACCATCTGAGCTGCCAAAAAGGTTTAAAAAGGTATCAGTTTTCCCCCATACATAAAACTCTCTCTCATCAGTAGGTCCAAGAGAACTTGGGTTCAGAACGTCCCAGCACTTGGTGGAGGGAAGAAGATCGAGTTCCCCTTCTTGCTCTCCCTGCCCCAACATAAGACAACCAGAAAAGTCAGAGGTTTACAGTAGTGTATTCTACTTGGTACAAACAGCTGAAGTTGAGGGACAGAAACAAAGTCACGCTGGGAGGCCACTGGTTGACGGGTCAGAGTAAGGCACTTCCGCGGAAAGAAGAGCATCCCTTCACTCGGCGACGCAGGGGGGCGAAGCGCGGGGTTCTGGTCAAGAAAGAGGACTTCAGGAGCCTCCTCAAAACACTGGAACGTCTCTACAGCAGGGGAAGACGTGGGAGGTAAAACCTGGAGGTGAAATTCTACACAGAAGTGGTCACGCGGTCAATGGCATGATTGACCTCGTTTTTGTTGGAATCCAGTCCTTTAGCAGCATTCATGTCATTCCGCAAATTCTCCACTGTCTTTTTCATATTCTTTAACTCCCCTGGGTGTGGGGTGGCTCGCCTCAGAAGGGTTCTCTAGAAACAGACAGTGGAGTGAGTGTTTCAGTTTTATTTCGTTTGTCTTCCAAACATGCAGCTCCTGGGCGGCAGCTTCCAACACAAACCTGACCTTCCTGCGCACAATGGGTCCGAGCTAAGGGCAGCTGGTGACCAACGGCTTCCTAGCAGCTAATGGGAGATGGCGCGTTGCACACAACTTACCTAGTCAGGACGGAGGATCACTTTTGGAATAAAAGAATATTTTTTAAAATACTACATTACTGCATGGTAACTATGAAGTTATCATGCAATATCGTGAGATAAAAAAGAAAAGATTTACAAGAGGTACTTGTGGGGTGTGAAGGAAAAATAAAAAGGAAGGGGTAAAAAGTTCTAATTAAAATCACTATACTGTTCTGTCACCCAGCGTGGCTCCGGCTTCCTTCAACCCTTGGGGCGGGGAGTTGAAGAAAAGGGCAGCAGCAGGACGGGCGCCTTTCCTAACTCTGCTGCGCGCGGGCTATTCACATGACCCCCTGAGGCTCTTCACCTTCTCCCAAAGACCACAGAGCCCGAAGTGAAGGCAGGGCGTAGGGGCAGTACTTGAAAAGTATATTACTTCACAGGCTATATGGTCTTTAGCTCACAAAAGGCATTTACATCTTTTAAGTGGTCTGTCCAGGAGTTTCAGGAGGAGCTCAAGTAGGCTAATAAAATAAGAGCACATCAGAGGCCCTGAAGTAACTGGTGAGAAAACCACTCTCAGGTGTTGTGAGATAAGCATTAGAGTCATTAATATTGAGGTTTTTCTGTCCTGCCTAATTCCTATTTTGCACTCTGCAGACGCTAGCAGATAATTTAAATGCCACCCTTTGTTTTGAGGGCTGAGGAGACTCCCTCGAAACTCTGCTTATGAAAATCTCAATTAGCGAGGACTTCAAGAGCCAAAGTCAGCTTGTAGGAGGAGGTCGAGTTGTTGCTGACTCCCGGAGGCACTGGTGGCTGCGACACACTTTCCGGTGTGGAGGAAAGTGAGGCTGAGGGTACATTCAAACCTATTCCTGACTCCTGACTGAGAACTCGTTCAGGGGTCTAACTCAGGTCAGGAGCATTCTGCACAACGGTGAAGAGCAGAAAGGGGGCGTGGGAAAGCGAGGGGAGTCCAGTCCGGCAGAAGGCAAGCTGCCCCACCAGGAAACGCGAATGGAGTCAACGCGATACAGTCATAAATGGGAGTGGAAGGCGGGAAGAGACTTAAACAACAAAGAACAAAAAAGAAAAATGAATTTTAAGAAAACAGTGGGGGTGGGAGGGGAAGCTATCACAAATAAAGAAAAAGAGGCACCATGAACTAGTCAAACTAAAAGCACAAAAGTTCTTTTTGCCCTAAACACATTTGGTGAATCCGTACCTAGAAGTACTTAGTTCTGTCTTCTAAAAATTCTAAAATGCTAAAAGCAAAACAGAAAACACACTAGCTGAAAATACAAGAAATCCTTATTAGGTGCCATTATTAATGTTGGAAGTCTTTTAAATTTTGAACTTCCATGGAGGCCAAGAATCTCCATTTCCATACCGTTTCATTGTCATCTTCATCTTTTTCATCTTCCAGAAATCGGATTGCACTGATTCTGTTCACTGTGCGCTCGTTCCAGGCCTCATCGGAGACGTCACTCACCAAGTTCTCCAGGGCACCACAGCGAGACAAGTTCTCTGTCATCACAAAGACACATCATCAGCAGGGAGCTCAGCAAAGACACATCAGCAGGGTTCCTGTGACTGGCAACCGCTATGTGGTAATGTAAAAAATTAAAAAGAAAAGGGCCCTGGCTGGTGTGGCTCACTTGGTTGAGAGGTGTCCTATGCACCAAAGGGTCATGGGTTCGATTCGTGGTCAGGGCACATACCCAGGTTGCGAGTTTGATCCCCAGTCAGGGTGCATATGGCAACCGATCGATGTTTCTCTCTCTCTCCTGCTCCCTTCCTCTCTAAAATCAATAAAAACATATCACAAAGGGGAGACTGACAAGGCAGCTGTGGGGCCCTTCCACTCAGGGGACTCTGGCTCCCCCAGGGCACTCTGGTTCTCTTCAATCAAAACCAGCCCTCAGCAAAGGATTTATAATAGCAAATTTGATGTCAGTGTGAATATTTTTTAAAACCACACATAATTTACAAAACAAAGGTACAACGACTCAAAACAAATCACTGGCTTAAAAAATTTTCCAGTGGAGTTCAGTACTAATCCTCCAAACCATCAGTTTAGATTTTAAGTGACTGTTACTTCTTTTAGGGGTATTTGTATTTTCATCCTTAGCTATCATTCAAAACCAAGAAAAAGGGTGTTTAAGGAATTCGACACGATAATAGGTGTGAGTGGTACTTTTTCTGCAAAGACACAGGGGACCTTGCCAGAGAAGACCTATAATGACCTCACCTGACACACAGTGGCCTCACCTGGACAGGCTCTAGGGGCAGAATTGGATAAAATACAGTCACATGTAAGAGGAAAAGGTCTTATGGTGAGATGGTAACTCCTACTAATTCTTGTGGCCAAATGATACGGTCCTTAAATTCACCTTGGCAAGTAGGTTCAGAAGGCAGCTGAGGAAGTAAGACACAGGTTAAAATCTTCTCCCCTGTGGTGAGGTCTATGTCCGTCTGGAACGTGAGTAGGGGCTGGGACTGGTTGTCAGATAACCACAAAGCTTTCAACTTCAAGGACATCAGAGACAAGGGCAGATGCAACAACCTAATTTGAAACAAAAGAAGACATTGGCGTCTCAGATGCTGTAATCAAATCAATTTCTGTCAATAAAAACAGAAAAAAATGAAAACCACCACCTAGGATTGGGTCCACCCTCTAGAAAGACGTTATGTTTATAACAAGATACTTGATTTACTCTTTGCAAGTAGACTCGGCGCTAACAGCTTCCCCGCTCTGCTATCACCTCCTCAGCAGCACTGCTAGGCCATAGGGCAGAAATGAGGAACTGACAGAACTTTCTTCAACCCTGTACTAGGAGGTTTCAATTCAAAGAGAAAAACAGCCAGTGCAACTGTGGAAGTGGAGCTCTTACGCAGTCAATGGCAACACCGTCGCTACCTCATGGGGCTGGGGTGAGCTTCTGGGGTTACCTGTTTCCCGTAGCCCCTGGGAAATCAGGATGGGGGAAGGAGATGCCTGAGGTGCTGAAGAATTTAAGTTGCAGTTAAAATAAAGGTTAATTTTTTTTTTCATGTACTCCATTTGTTTTCTCTAGGGAGATTATTTTAGGTATTCCATCCTAAACTTTTATCTTTCTGTTTCTAGACCCTCCCACTTCTCAGACTCCAACGTGATAATTAACGTCCACATCAGATTGTTTCAGTTTCGAATGAGATAGAATATTTATAAAGCACTTTTAAAATTATAATGTGACACCTGAAGATTAGTTTCATGTTTATGTTTGCACAAATATTTCACAGCTTGGCTGCGACCAGTCAGATCTACTCAGTAAAGAACACCAGAAGCCAGCGCTTGGTACTTGCCAGGTTACCTTAGCACAGCGGTTCCCAGCCAGGCGTGGTTGTGCCCCTAGGGAATCTCCGGCCATATCTGTAGACGTTTTGGAGGGTGCTATGGCATCTAGTGGGTGCAGGCCGGGGATGTTGCTAAACATCCTACAATGCACAGGACAGCCCCATAACAGAATTACCTGGCCCCAAGTGCTAACAGTACCAAGGGTGAATATGCTGCTTAGTGAAAACCAATGCTTTATACAAGTTACTAATTCACTGTGAAAACCCACGCTGATACCAGAAATTCAAGGTTTAAAGGATTTATCTGATCAAGTATTTTCACTCTAAGGATGGCTCCACATATTAAATTATGGATCAGTCTTAGAAGTGACTTCATAAGCTAATCACATTCTGCTAACTACTATATGAGGCACATACTCGTAAGAGAAATTTAATCCCATGAAGAATGATAAGACAGCATGTATTCCTGGGCTTCTTTCTTTTATAAAATTGTATGGGGGAGATCGACCTATACATCTTACCAACAGATTAATGCTGCATTACTAGACACTGCTTGTTTTACTGCGCTTCACTTTATTGGCCTTCACAGATGTTGTGTTTTTTACATATTGAAGGCAAGGCCCTCTACCAGCAAAAAGATTACACTCGCTTCATTGCAATACTCACGTTATTGAGGTGGTCTGGATCCGAACCCACAATTACCTCCGAGGTCTGCCTGTATACCCATTTGAATTGACAGACTTACGGGAAATAAACTAGAACATTTTGTAGAGATATGAAGAGAAGTTGTACTCTGATAATATAAAACTAATCTAAGGAGAATGTAAGCACAAACTGTGTAAGCTCCTTTAATAAATGAAGTAAAAACTTATCAAAGTATGCATAGAGAATATTAACAAATGCATTGTCAACAAACTTTTCATAAGAACAATTAATATGCTTTTCAAAGATTTCCAATGTAAGAATTATGGACAGGAGAAAATATCTTCTTTTCCTCACAGTGAGTCCAGTGAAGACGGACATGTCCCACTCAGATGTCCTGGGTAGAAAGCACAGTGGAACTGTATCTACATGGGGCTTAGGTTCTGAAGTCAATGCATCTGCGAGAATTGCGTATGTTAAGTACCCTTGAAAAGTCTCTATGCATCACACACTATAGTATTTCACTTATGAGCACCAAACTAGATAAGAAGTATGTATTTTTAAATCCCAGGACCCACCCAGCGCAGTGAAACATATGCTCAGACCATGAGAAGGATGCCCGGAGGGGACAGCAGATTCCCAGCTCCACTTTTCCTTGTTCTAGGAATTGCTTCTTCGAGGGAAAGGAAAGTGAAGTCGCTCATGCTTATACAACAACGTATTTCTGCCTTTGCCCGAAGGGAGAAATACACTGCCCGAAGTCGTGGCACACTCACAGGCAAGGGAGGTAAAGACATAGACATGATTTGCCAGGCACTGTGCCAGTGATTTTTAAAAAGAGTATCCTAATACACTATGAAAGCTTAAAGTACATTAAACTCTTTTTCATTTTATTGAACAAAAGGATCATTTCTTTGAAAGTTTGTTCCTATTTATTTTTAAAAGGAGTTAAGCTAATATTGAGAACAAAAGAAAATAAAGATTTGAAAACCGGCACAAAACACAGATACTCAGACACGGTCATCGTACCTTCTCAGACTAACAATTGGCTTCCTAGCTAAATGCCAAAGCAAAGGTATAAATAAAAGGCCAAACGGAGCATCAATAACAACAGCTTCCAAGGATGACAAAATCTTATGGTAAAAGCTAAAATAGGTTACTGGACTCTACAACAACAGATCTTATAACCACGTTCAACCAAGCCACGTAAGATCTATTCGTTGTCTGAAATGCCAGTTTTCCTGCAAAGACTCCAAGTGCCAGCTTTAATATGCCTGTTGCTGACGGAGCCCACACAGGACATGAGCCTGTTCACAGTGTCTTGTGGACAGTGGTGTCCTGTGATGTCAAAGAGAAAAGAAGGCCCTGTTTCCAGCCCTGTCTGCACACATACTCTGGGCTGGGCAGACCCTCTCACTGACTCTCTGTGGCCTCGGGGAAAAGACACACATACTCCTCTGTTTCTCTTGGGCGAACCATCCCAGACACAAGTAGAAAATAGATAAATAGATGCTATATATCCCTGCTTTCCAGACGAGTTAATAATACATTTTTGGTTTATTCTGGAACCATCTGTACACTACAAAATCAACACAAGAAACCATCACTCCATTGTACATATCTCCATGTTCTATTTAGGA